GTGGGGTCGTTGTGGGTCGTTGTGGGTCGTAGTGGGGTCGTTGTGGGTCGTTGTGGATCGTTGTGGGTCGTTGTGGGTCGTTCCATGTTTTAGTAACTACGATCTGAGCAGACTGTGTCTAGACGTACTGCCTGTCTATAAGTGTCTGTCTACATAATCGGCTGTATATTATAGACATTATAATTTCGTGATAACAAAACACCCCATAATATTTTTTACACCAGATTTGAGAGCAACATTTGCTCATACATTTGTCTAAATTTGAAGGAAATCGGAGTTTTACCCGAAAGGTAAAATTGATTTTCAAAAAATGTACCAAACTTAAAATTTTTTAACTTAAGGTTTTTCTTGTGATTTTCCCGATATTATAGTCAGTATAATTCCGCGGTAACAAAAAGCCCCAAAATAATTTTTACATCAGCTTTTAGAGCAACAGTTTCTCTTTAAATTTCCTAAATTTCAAGGAAATTGGAGTTTTCTCGGATACGAAAAAAAAATTTTCAAAAAGTGTACCAATTTAGAATTTTTTGGATCGCAAAATAAGGCGATTTTGACACGCTTGCCTGGCTTTGAGACATCATTTAAAAGATTGCAAAATAGACTATCGTTGTTTATAAACAACTTATATACACGTTTAAAAACAGAAAGTGAGGTTTCCTGAATACGCGAACTGAGCTGAACGAAGTTTTCGAGAGGCTATGACTCACTATGTTTTTAGCTAATTTCACGAATCTTGGGTACATGTCAGGTTTTGATAATTTTTCGGCGTTTAAAATAATATTTCAGAAAACAAACCCCATCACGCTTCTAAGTATACAATAGTGTATCACTGGACAAAATAAGAAAACATTTCTTTTTTCATCATGTGCCACCAGTTGCTCGGTGATAGTGGAGATTCCCTCTTAATGTTTTAAGTATATTAAATTCGGAGTTGTATGGGAGTGCATGAGTCAAACTAAAACTTGCAAAGGTAAGTGTTGCTCACGTGGATCTATATCTTGGTATATTCCAATGCATGACTAAAAACATGCAGTCATATCAATCAAAGTTTTTTATCATTGAAACCTATACCCTCATGCACCCCACACCCCCTTTTATATTACATCGCAAACTACTGTTTCGGTGATATTCAGTTCTACCTGCATCACAGAGTAGAGACATACAGAGACGTTGTGCGCATGCTCGGCAAGTTACTAGATGCATGCATCTGATTGGATGACGACCTGATGACGACTCACTTTAAACTTGCTGGGCACGCGCAGTTGATCATTTTTCGCCCGGTCGCCTGAAAAAAAGTGGGTACATGATAACGTAATCTTCTGCAGTATTTACGACGGTCAGTTACGTCTCTGTATGTCTCTACTCTGTGCCTGCATGGAACAGTGCGAACGCTTCAGCAGACGTCTGCCTACTTGGATAGTTGGACAACTTAAGTGATTCTAGAAGGCGAATGGTTGAGTATATAGTTTGATCCACTGTACAAAAATCTGAAAATATTAATTAACGCTAGTACCAGAAAGGGACACCTGTATAAGCCTCAATTGAACGTAAAACTGCACCTTAGACGTTTCGTAAAACGTTTCAAAACGTTTCAAAATCGAAAAACTTCGTCTTTGAATGAAATCAGTTCATATCATACAATTCGCTCGTTTAATTTACACAGTAAATTTTGATTTAAGAAACTTGTACCTACACTGAAATAAAGTGGAAAATAGTGTATATGGCAACAATTCTTTGAAAGTAGAAATGCATAAATTTTGAATTCAGTGTTGAGACCACCCATACAATATGGCCACAAATAATGTAGGGCATATAGATCCGCTATCCTGCCTTTATCCTGGGTGTAAATAACCGGAGTAATTAATTAATATCCTCGCTTCGGGTTTCCGTGGATGCATGTAGTTTGTCGGGTAACAACATTAACACACTAATAATAGTCAATTTATTTGAAAGCGTTATTTAACGTTTTGAAAATAAAAGCTGAAGCAATTCAACTACTAGCTAACCTGCACTCGTCGTATATTTAGTATATTTAGTTAGAGGCGATTGTCCCTTATTCCACTGCTGGTGTTTGAGAATTTAATTAAGGATTACGTATTTTGTGAACAGAGTGAAGCATATTTTGCATGGTAAAGTTTTATTAATAATTGCCGGCTGAAAGAAGGAATCCACCAAATTGAGAATATCGTCCGGCTCCATATACAGCGTAGCTACTACTTCTCTCCAACCTAACCCAGAATGTTTGGCCCTTTGTGGCTTTGTCAGAGTCACAAGAATGGTTTTCGTTAGCTGATCATACTTTTTGTGGTTTGCAAGGATTTGACTGACAGCAGTACTCCCTTTTATCAACCTAACGTAAGAGCTGTAGCCATTTTCCTGAAGGTATGTGACAGTAAACTGGTATAAACCTGCAATAGGTGCAGTAAATTTTCCAGTGCTTGGGTTATAACCGTTTCCAATGTTCGGCAGAGTAACGCGGTTAAATTTAATGGCTCCGCGGGCGTAGTTAGGTCCAATTCTACCTGTTGTCAGCGTTGCTTGGAAAGCAACTACAATCTGAAATAAAGAGTACAAAATTCTGCGTCAGTCCATAATCGATTCACTGGTCAATTAATTAGTTATCTGGGTTTTTTCTAGAATTACAGTTTATAGGTTCTGAGTAATATCCCAACATGTCCATTATTGGAATTAGCTTAGTCGGCAATAGATAATTGAGGGTCTCCCAAAAGTCTCTAGAAAATAAGGTGCGCTTGCACATACCGCCAGTGAATTAACTATTAAGTTATGTATCATGCATAAATTGTGGAACATGCTAATTATAGGCAGCAGTTTTTACTCTGCCTGGCAAATCAAAACAACAGTTGCTAACCTCGCTCTTAACCAAATTTCATCCAAATTTAACTAAAATTGAATCAATTTGTCCTTGGGTTACATTACTAGGTTTCATATTTGTGACCTTCCACGGGAAAACATACGTTAACGATTTTGCATTAAAACGGGCAAAAAAAGGATAACGAACGGATAGTAAACGCTTTGTCAAATCGTTTCAACGGATCCTCAAAACGTTTTAGACGTTTTGAGTAAAAAATACGAACGGATGAAGACAAAAAATTTAACGGCTCTACGAACGGCTTTAACAAACCGTTCGAACGGAATTAAGAAACCGTTTGACGATATTCAGCGACCGTTTCAACGGATCTGTTCAGAATGGTATAAAGCAGTAAACAATAATATACACTAAAACATCAGTGCACTGATCCAGAATTAACAACCACGCATTTATCCAGATGCATGCAGACGCATGCACACACAAAATATATCACTTTGGTGTTTATAAACGTTTCAAATTTTATGGATTTCCATACTAACAAAATCAAAGACGCTAAAGTGGTTTGCACTAAGTCTAAAGACAATCTGTTACCGGAGACATGCGCGATATCAGTTTTACATAACACAGCCGACCTGAGACTTACGTAATAAGGTCTCTACTGTAAACGCGACTATCAGTGGCGTGCTGGCAGGGGGGGGGGGCCGGGGGGCCACGGCCCCCCAGCTGGCAATTTTTGGGGGGGCGGAAAAATGAAAAGGGGGCGCCGATCCTGCGCCGAATTTTGAAAGTGGGTGGGAAAAAAACGCATTTGAAAAAATATAGTTACTTCCACCAAGAAAAAATGTGTTTATAGGCTTATAAACAGACTGAGCGCATAGGCGACAAAGTGATATATTAAATTACAGACTATTTTGTCTAACCAGCCAGTATTGCTACCTCACACGAAATCGTTCATATAGAAACATGATCAGTGATCACACGCAATGTCGCATTACCGGAATATTGGCCAGGTTTCGAAGCGATCACGGGAATTATGCCCTTTTTTGCTTGTATTATGCCCTTATATTATGCCTTTATATTGCTTCACGAATCACGAGAGCGGCGCAAATTAGATAGTTATGATAATGTAAAGTTGTGTACGCAATTTAGTTGTTTGAACAAGAAACATCATAACTCATCGAGTAATGTGAGTAGTAAGATAATGCTGAAACGCGCGCCCTTTTGGCAGCCAGGCAAGGAAACCTTAAACGGCATGGTGTACCACTGACATCGACTCGCACCGATGTGCAGATGAACTGCTCAACTTTGCAGAATGTTTTCAAAAATCGAAGTGTTCAGTGATTTTTGATGAAGACCGAAAGAAGAAGAGAAAGATTCTGATTTAGACTCCGGTTCTGAATCTGAAACCGAAGACTACGAAGAAGAAACCGACAGCGAGTCAAGCGACGACGGAACTGCTGAAGAACCAAAGGACAAGGATAAACAATCATTTCTAGAAGCTCTGAGAATTTTGTCGAATCCTGATTACCACGCGATCGCAGTTGCAATTCCAATCAAACACGCACACGTTCGTCTTTGTCTCAAGAAAAACTTGAAGCATTGCCACTTATGACCGGCAGTGAACGGAAGATTTTAATGTCTTTGAAAAAGGAGCAGATTATTACCGCCTTGGAGGTCTGACATCAGAATTGTCGAAGGCGCTTATATGAAAATGTTTAGAAATGCTATAGAAATCGACAATGGTTATTGAAACATTAAAGACATTGGAGAACATCGATTGATCGATATGGGCAATACTTGACGTTATCAACATTCGATACAACACGTGAAAAATAGTACTAACTATCAAGTGATATACTGTATAGTATTTTAAAACTCTTTTTGTATGTTTTGACAAAAAACATGACAGATGAATAAAGTGCAAGCACACCGTTTTAGTAAAACATTACAAGTTATTAGTGAGATCGGCGTTTATTATAAATCAAAATATTTTATACAAATATACTCAACGAGTGACTTTATTCCTCCACAATTAATCTAAAATAAAGATTTATAGTAAAACTGATATCGTACCAATTTAAGTTCCTCTACGGAAATTCTAACCAAATTGCAAATTTCGACTCGTTATAATCTCGTTTCCTGACCATCAGATTTCTGTCAAATCTTCCCCCCAAAGTCCAGGAAATGGCATTTCAGAGACTCTAAATTTAAAAATTTTCGGGGGGCATGCCCCCGGACCCCCCGAGGAACACCTCGCACCTGCGGCGCTCGGCTCGTGCCTTCGGCCCTCGTTTATCAAGCGTCACATTATAGGGACGCATATTGGTTGATAGCCCACTGGGCCCCCCCAGAAAAATAGTACCCAGCACGCCACTGGCGACTATGCACAATATATAATAGTTACCAGGCCTAAAACTAAAAGTATAGTACACATACGAAACATGCATATAGTCTCTATAGTCTATGTAAGAAATTTTGCGTAGGATTTGTTGGCAATATTTTCGTGATTCATAATTTCAAAAAGGAAATTAAATTAATTAGCGTGGTATAATAAGATTATGCATGAAAATAGCCAGACAAGAACACTATAATAGCACAATCCAAAGTTTGAAAAATGAACATGAACTCGCGAGCTGATAATAGCTATGTAGTGGGGATTTAGCGATCACAGTTTGAGTATGCAACGCTAAGACACAACAGCTAGAACTATATATACGTACATTATCTCATTTATCTGCGTTGATCGAACTTGTCGCGAGTGCTATTGTCTCAATTATTGAGCCTGTGGCTCAGACGGGCTCAGTATGACTTGTTTGATATTGTGGACACATTTCTGTCAAAAATCGGTCGTCCACTGCATGCTTAATTTACGCATCGGTAATTTCCTCTTTACTATAGCCTGTAAAACACGGCGGGTCTAAAATGCAGGGTGCTGATTGTTAAATTATTGTCACTATAATATTTTCCATAATGACTGAACTAATGCGGTCACAATGGATTTAATAGCATAATAGTAAAAGTCAAGTACCTACTTAAATTAAACCAACTATAAAACAGTTTGAACGGCAAATATAAAACACAGCACGCAGTAATTGGCGTAATTGTAAGGTATATTGCAGAATGCAGATAATAATAATGACGATATGATATATTGGTACTGAAAAATCTGAATGCACTCCTTAAAATGCACTCCTTAAAATGCACTCCTTAAAATGCACTCCTTAAATGTTTTCCTTAAAATGTACAAAATCCTGTGAATGTAAAGTCATCATATCACTTATATCATTCATGGACATTCATGTACCAACAAAAAGACGCTCATACTGTATATATGCCAATTAAGGCTTCAATTAAGCACGAAGTACCGACTTCGTTTTATAAGTAAGCTAGCTGATATCCTTAATTTACTTGTTATATATTTATAGTACATCTTTTTACAAGCCTAATCAAGAAGACCAATTCCCTTTTATGTTTTCGCGCAATCACAGCATCACTATTTAAAACGTCAATACTCTTTAGCATACACAACTAATATATAAGGCCCCCCCCCAAAAAAAACGTCATTTTGGAAAATGCAAAGATAGCTTGGAACACGTTAACACACACAACTTTTCCTAGTGGTCTCCTATTTTACTTTCTTTAAAGAAATGAGAAATAAATTATAATTGTTTAATCGGCATAACTAGTTCATGACCACCAGGACTACGCTAAGTCGCTAACCTTACGACGTCTTCTCTCTTGTGATGTCGTCCTATATCTTTTAAGATATCATAAATCCATTTTAGGTCCTAAGAACATACATAGCTAATCCCATGAAATAAATCCACGTCTTTTTTAACTTGACGCTGTTTTCCCTCTTCATTATGATCTTGTCTAAAAGTACATACGAGTGACCACGAATGACCACGAGTGACCACGAATGACCACGAGTGACCGCGAGTGACCACGAGTGACCACGAGTGACCACGAATGACCACGAGTGACCACGAGTGACCACGAGTGACCACGAGTGACCACGAGTGACCACGAGTGATTTCTGCGTTTAAAGGTCATAAAAAATAATAAAGAACTATTTTAAGGTGGCTCCATAGGGCTTTTGCATTATACTACACTTTTGTATCCAGAAAACTCCTGTTTCTTCACTTTATTACATGACATGAAGACGAAATTTATTGGACACATTGACAATGCTCTCCTGAATATTGCAATGTGCTACTTTTGTGCTGAAAGTCCGTTACCATGGCAACAGCGTGCTTAGGATAAGGCTCAAAATTAGGCAGGTGTAAAAGTCGGATCGGATTGCCAGTCCGGGTCGGATTAAGTCGGATCGTGCAGGTATAAAAGTTGGACTGGATCGCCAGTCCGGGTCGGATTAGGTTGGATCGTGCAGGTATAAAAGTTGGACTGGATCGCCAGTCCGGGTCGGATTAGGTCGGATCGTGCAGGTATAAAATTTGGATCGGATTGCCAGTCCGGGTCGGATTAGGTCGGATCGTGCAGGTATAAAAGTTGGACTGGATCGCCAGTCCGGGTCGGATTAAGTTGGATCGTGCAGGTATAAAAGTCGGACTGGATCGCCAGTCCGGGTCGGATTAGGTCGGATCGTGCAGGTATAAAAGTCGGACCGGA